TACCCACCTATGCTATTAAGTAAAAAAATCTCCCCCACATCTTGCGAAAGAAAAGATAATGGAAAAAGAGGAGAGAAAAGTCGCGCGCGATTTTGTTCCTTTTTGCGTGCTTACATTTCCGGTGTCATGTTTTTAATTCAAAACGTTTCCCTTTTGCGATTTTTTAAAATAAGTTTTTGTACTTTTTCTCGGTCAATTCTGATTCGATTTTAGAAATTTACAAAGATTTCGAAATCTCAGTTTATTCTCTCGATCAATTTTGCAAATTTCAAATTGAAAATATCTCTTTAAGTTTAAGTCAACAGACTGAAACATAATAAATAAATATCCGTTTTCGTGAATTTTGTTGGTTTTTGGAGGGGTGTTGGATATTGAGGACAAACTTTCACTCAAAGCATATTCACATACATAACATTTACTTTTATTCGAATCCCTAAATATAATTAACATAATTCTTTAATTTATTAATTTTAAGGCTATTAGACACATTGAGAATATTGTTATTGGACAGTATATGCATAATTTACGAAATGAACTTACTGATCCGGGAAGGAAATTAGACTTTATTTATAAAAGACTTGTTGATTTTGGTAAATTTATGGGAAGACAAAATTATATTGAATTTTTGAACCCTTATGGTATTGAAATAGATAGAAGTTTAATAAATCGGGGAAATTTCCCCTGTCCAACATCTTTACATTCTAAAAGGTTTTTTGGAAGATATTTTTATTAAAAATTTCACAAAAAATAAAATTTCAGCGAACAAGAACTAAATAATATTTTACAAAATTTGCTAGAACCAACACAACTCGAAAAGAATCTTTTAATTTTCTATAATTTGTTGGCTTTAACAAGAATTCTTATCGGAATGTTTATAATAAATCACTCACAAAATTATATAAATTTATTTACTAATTCACGGTAATTTTTTGGCTCAATAAAATTAAAGAAAAAAGTCTGAATAAAATTTAAAAGTTAAAATTTAAAAGAAGGCCTAGACATAGACATGAAACAAAAATAGGGGATCTCATCGGAAACTGAAATTTTGACGTGGTCAGAATCAGATCTAATTTTTAAGAGCCTGAACTCTCGCCAGAACACTATTATGTTTAACCGAAAACTATACAGTCGCTATCTGTGCCATAAGTTCAGGATGGGGTTTTAGAGCTCACCCAGTTCATGACCAAAATGAATTAAACATAATTTAAATATTTTAGCAACCAACTTTCAATTTTTGGATATTTTTATGCCTATGACGAATTTGAGGTTACCGCCAATCATCTTTTAGGCTTCACATTACGTCACCTACAGATATACTCCTATATATCTAACTATCGAGTTTCTTATACACATGGGCATTATGGAGGTAGGTTATGAATGTTAACTGTTCTCGCTTCGCTCGCGGCTTCCGTAGTGAAGTGACGGCCGTCGTTCCGCTCGACATGCCCGGCTTCCTCCGCAGCGGCAAAAACTTTTAAATTTACATATTACTTTATATCATTTTTATAAAAACTTGATTGATATAGGACGACATATTATTACGGATAATACGGGATATTGAGCCCGTTTTTAATAATTTCTATTTAAATATAAAAATTGTATTTCAGATCGTGCACTTCTTGTGGATTCTTTAAGTATGATTGAAGGCCATTTGAGACAATCTTACAACCCGCTATTTATATATCAAACGGATATTCGACCATATATGAACATTATGTTTACATTTACAAGTAAAATAAAATTTTTTGGCAAATTAATTTAGAAATTTCGAATTTTGAAAGAAACCGGGGCCAATTGTTTTTTCGTGGTTTTAACATGGAAGAATGTATTAAGGATACCGGGTCCGGTTATTTGAAAAAAAATCTTAGCTTAAAAATGTTCCTAAATAAAATAAAAATTTAAGAAGTTGAAAATACATTATCAGAATATGGATATAATTATATAAAAGCTGTTATGGAGTACTATCAAGATTTGTATGGAATCTTCTTTTCTTTAGATGAAAACCTCCAAACATTAATCCAACAACAAGTTATTATTCCAAACGTGATTGCGATATTTGGAAGTATTGGGTATAATCAAACACTAATTTATATGGAAATACAAAATGGAAAAAGATTTCCTCCTCAACATCGTCCATTTGTTCATTTTGTAAGTTTAGAGGCCGGATCTATCCAATAGAATATACCTAGTAGATTTTTCATAAATATTTAGAAAAATATTAAAAAATAACTGACACCCGCAACCAGCGAATATTTAAAAGCAACTAAATTTTAAAACCAATTTTGGTATTGTATTAATAATAGAAAGCAGTGTAAATTTAACTTTTGTTGCCTTTTTTACTAAAAATTATAAAGTTAAAGAAATCGGGACTTTAATTAATATGTACGAAAAAGTATTTTTTTCATTTAAAGGTCAACAATTACATTGACAATACTAATTTAGAAGCGGATGAAGAGGAAGAAGAATATGACGATGAGGATTGAATGAAGCTAATTTTAAAAGAAAATTTTGGTATTAGATATTTTGGTATTAGATATTTTGGGGTAAGAGTTCACCTTAGCAACACAACAAAAAACACGTTTTTCTAGTGTAATAAAATGCGCTGAGTTCAAAAAACACTAAAATTACTCAAAATTTTTTCCGGATTTTCAAACCCCTGAAAATCGAAAACTATAGTGAGGACAAGGCTGATTTTTGGAGTCAAAAATTCGAATATGCAAAATTTTTAGGGGTCTGAAAATCCGGTAAAAATGTATGGGAGCACCATTTTGAGTACTTTTTTTCATACTTTCCACATTTTTACATTAGAAAAACATGGCTTTCAGTGTGTTGCTAAGGTGAACTCTAGCCTATTTTGGTATTAGATATTTTGGTATTAGATATTTTGGTACTTACTAGTATTAGATATCCACGTAAAGATGGAATGAGCTGACTTTATGTAAACATCATTACCAGTAATAAGGGGAAATTGCCTATTGTGTACAGGAATTTTGCATTTTTTGGTATCATTCGATAGGGGACCCTCGACTCGCTATGCGAAGTGAGTTCCTTTTTTCTCTGCAAAATGGTTATGGGCAGAGTTATGGCCAGTCAAATTTCCGGTGTTCCACGCCATGATAATTTCAGGAAAAAAGTTTTGACTTTAGAATCCTATCCCTAATTATCTCCATTGAGTGAGTGATATCTAATAGTGTGTCTCGACTGTTGATATTTTCATACCTGTTATTTGGATGTTTAACTTCCTCATTTTTAATTATTTAGATTCGGATTGTTTGGGGTTTCTTTAAAACTTATTATTTTTTGGGGTGGGGGGGGGGGTGAGCAAAATTTCAAAACACGCTCGATTCAGTCTAACAATTGTAATTTTTAGTCAGAAATCAAACTAAGACGATAGTTCTGGACGATACCTAGATACTAGATTAGCTTCTTATTTCTAATATTTCCACTTCATATATTCACAAATTTATTTGATTTATCTCTAATTTTTTATTCAAATTTTTGATAAATTTTTTAGTTATATTTTTAACATTTTTTGATTAAAATTTTGACAATTCAAAAAAAGTTTGATTGCTAGATTTCATAGAAAACATAGAAAACAAATTTTTAATTAAAAAATGTTGCCCACTTGAAAATATTACCTAATTTGCGATTTGTTCGTCCAAGTATTATCAAAAAATATATAATTAAATTATAAACAACGAGCGTTAGGACGCCGCTTCGCGGCGTCCTAACGCTCGTACTATAACTTCTAATGTTCTAAACAGACTCCCTACAATCGAATCCTCACATCTCACTCGTTTACAGAATCTCTCTGAACCATTTTTAATACACATTACCTCAGTGTCGTCCTTTTAGCCCGGAGAACCATTTATATCGCTTTTATTAACCCAAAATCCCGGGTAACCCCCTTTATCCCCAAATCTCAGATATTATCTAATAGTGCTAAAATCCTCAGTTATCTTTCATACTCACCATCATCCTAATCCCAAATCCTCTAATATTAATCCCATCAATCTCCCAAATCTTTGTTAACCCTTTTTTCCCAAAATTCTCCGATAAATCATCGGCAATTCCCATGTGTCGACACTTTTCACCCAAAATCCTTCGAAATACCTTATTCGCTCTTATATCACATATAATTCACCAAATCCACGTGAAAACTCCTTATTTCCCTAAATCCCTGATAACTCCTTTTATCTCCAAAATTCTCTGACATACCCCTACGTTACTTCCGATCCGATTTTATTAATCTCTGCAAATCCCTTAATATTCCTGTTTATCACTTTATTCTCCGATGCCCACTTCTAATAACCCGACTTTGTTCTTTTCAATGCCCAGATATCACCCTTTATTTCCAACTTACTTTAACCCTTAATTACTCCTAAATCCTTCGATTCCATTGATCCCCTAATAACAGTTTTCCCCCTAATTGAGTACCAAACCTATTCTAACTATTCTACTTTTCTAAAAGACTTTGTAAAACTTATTTTGGTTGTTTGTTTCCTTTGGCTTTACGGACCCTGTCTCTACCTATGCCGGTTCACTGATCTTATCTTCTCACACTTTCAACTGGCCCTTATTCCTCAATCTCTGGAGTGATCTATCACCTAAACTGTTTATTTTTTTCAACCACACTTTTAAACTCTGAATATATACTTCTTTTTATCCTTTAAATCCTTAATATTTTTGGATCACTTAAATTTCCTAAGCACTTATTAGACTCCAGATTCTCTGTTACAACTTTTTTCCCTCATATCCCCGAAATAATTCTTTTTCATCCGAAACCTTTGCATTTCTTTTTCTGTTGCTCTTGCAGAGTTTTTTTCGAAATGTCGATTTTCGAGGTTTTTCTCTGTCGATTCGATATTTCAAATTTTCGTAATTTTATAATATTTTCGATTTTCGAATTTTTGAAATTTTGAATATTTGCTCAAAAAGGAGATTTTTGGCTTAATATGCTTCTAAATTTCTCAAAATTTTTGCCAGAAGCGCTAATCAAATGATAAAATATTATTACACCAAAATTTCCCCAAATTTCACGATATCCACCTTAATTTTCTCAACGTTCTCTATCTAAGAAAACCCCCAAATTCATTAATATCTTCAAATCCTTTGATCTTTCTATTAGTCCCCAACTTCCTTAATCTCCTCAAATACTTGATCTCACTGTTTATATCCCAAAAGCTCCAAATATATTAATCTACAATATGTATGAATATGAGATTAGTTAATTTCATGTTTCTCCTACTATATTTAAATTTTTCAATTAATCTTATTTTCTCAAATCCACTCAAATCTCAGGGCCAACTGCAAAATCTCCAACGTTTTCAAATGCTTATCCTAATGTTAAACATCACATTCTCTGATATCCCTCTTGCTCCTAATCAATTGATCTCTGTTTTTCGCCAAATCACTTCAAAAATCTTGTTCACTCACCTTACGTTCACCCCCCAAATCCGCTCAAATACCTTTATCCATCGCATTCCCTGATAACACTCTTTCCATTCGCATCGTTTTTTGAAAAACATCAAATACACTGATATCCTTATTTACTCCAAATCCATTGTTCTCTTTTTTCCCTAAATTCCCCAAATCTTCCCAAATCACATGATATCTCTTTCAGTCACATTCATCTCTTGTTATGTCGCTTTTCCTTCCAATCCTTCAAGACCTTCCTTCAAAAACTATTAACATCACCATTTTCTTCAGATCCATCTTTCTAGTAATTCGCAAAATCCCATGTTATCCTTTATTAATTCAAATTACTTGGCCTCCCCAATGATCTCCAAATTCTACGTTATACATTCAAATCTCCCGATTCCGTTTTAATTCCCTTGAATCCTTGTTATCTGAACCCCGAAACATTTGATGATTATTTCCTTTTATAACACTATTAATCCACCAAATCCGTTGATAACTCTGTTTTAAGATTAATCCAATAAATCCCTCGATATTTCACCCCGAATTATTTTTTCAAAAAATCCCTCAAATCTCCATATATTTATGAACTTTCAAATCCCTAGAAATCTCTCTATCTCTCGACATCCAAATCTCTCGATCATTCAATTATTTCCCAACAATATCACTTGATATCTCTGTTAATCCCCTCAGATATTTGTTCTCATCTTAATGACCCGATGTTTTTTTTTAAACAGTTCAATAGATAACGAAAATCCCTCTTTATTTATGATATTTCACCGAATCCCTCGTTAACTCTATAAATTTCCTGATATTCAGTTTAATCCTTCGTAACCCTTGTTTTGTCTGTTACTTCTTTAAAACAATTTTTTTACTATCCAAAATTCTAAGAGGTCGCCATAAATCCGCCCAAATTTCTTTATCTCTGTTGGTTCCCAACGCGATTAGCTCACTCAAAACATTTATAACTTTTAATCACCCCGAAAAATAATAACTTAAATTCAGAACGTTGGCGAACTCTAAACCCAAATTCCCGATATACCTATATCGGGAAATCCGTACCTCATAATTCCTCAATTTCACCTTTAGCTTCCAAAATCACTATATTTTTAGTTATTTTGTTTTTATATCTTTAAAATACACATCACTATATATTTTTTATTTTTAGTACCCTGAAAACCCTCATAACCTAACTAACCTCACAAACCATCAGTCCTTGCATTCCTATAAAACCCAAAATCTTTGATATTTCACTCAAAAGTCCATAAATCCCCGAAATTTTTGATCCGTATTAATTTTGGCATCAATCTATTTAGTTCAATCATTTAAAGAATATCGTTTTAAGATCGTTTAGCGGAATCGTTTAATACCAAATTTGGTAAAAATCGGAAATCTTGAAGCAAGATTTGTCTTTATGTTGTCATTTCTGCGGACCTTCTAGGCGTGCCCACAGAATTCCAGTGCTTCGCAACGGCCGTGCTTGCTTAGCTCGCGGCGGCCGCAGTCCAAAAACTATTAAGATGAGTTTTAAAATGTTTTTTAAACCTTTTTAACCCAGTATGCTCAAAGTTTTAGGCTATTTATACTTTTTAAAGACTAAACATACTTTTAGTTTGATTAGGTTTGTAAACTTTTAAACCTGGCTAGATCTTTTTAAATATTGAAGCTGATTAGGTCTTTTGTACTATCTAAACTGATTAGGTCTTTTGCACTATTTAAATCGTTTAGGTCTTTTGTACTATCTAAACTGATTTGGTCTTTTGTACCATCTAAACTGATTAGGGCTTTTGTACTATTTAAACTGTTTAGGTCTTTTGTACTATCTAAACTAATTAGGTCTTTTGTACCTTGTAGTTGTGTACCATTTTGTCAGGGCACTCGATGTTTACATTTAAAATTTTGAAAGGGAAGGACGCTAACTTTTACTTCTCTTTCATGTATTATTTTCTTTTTTTTTGTTGTCTTTTTATTGTTTACTACTTTAGAAAACTTTTCGTTTCAATAAAAATTCTGTTTACATACTCAAAAAATTTTTCACGTGGACCATCAAATTAATATTATAAATATAATATTAAAAGTTTTTTAAATTATTCAAATTAATTGAAAAATTCAAAATTTTGTGAATTTTTACCTGTCTAAAAGTATAAGCACACTTTGGATTTTTGTATTTCAAATTTAGGAAAAATCTACAAAAATTCTAGCAAACATATTTATGGATACTAAGAAAAATATTTTCTACTCCATATGCATTGTTTTAAATTTTTGTGTTAGGCAATGACCATATTTTCCTTAAAAAATATTTTGGTGGGTAAGATTTTCCAGAAAAAATATTAAATTGAATAAATTGCCGCAATTGCGTTTAAAGTAGAATAAATTAAAAAAATGTTTTAATAACAAAATTTAGGTAAAGATAATTAAAGTTGCATGTTTTAAATTAAAAAAGTGAATATAATTTAAATTTTTTTACAGGGTGACCCAAAAGAAACCGGGCACTTTTATTTTCTTCATATTTTTTTTTCTCATTTATATTTTTTAATATTTTTTCGCTTATTTTGTAGCTTATTCAATTCTATTTCATGGCTTCTAAGCGCGATTCTATATATAGCGTGCCCGGTTTCTTTTGGGTCACCCTGTATATTAAAATTAAAAGTACCTATATTTACTTAATATTGTTTAATAATAATTAGTTAATTAATTGCATTTTGATTGTCACGAAATTTTAAAATCCAATTAATTCCCCTACCCTAAAAACTTTTTCGTAAAAATAAATTATCAGCCCAAATTTTGCTCTTTTGTATAGGAAAATTTAAAACTATAATATAAAAAATTTACATATAATGTTCTATCAGGGCATGCTTTAAATTATTTTTTATATAACTTAAACACCCGCCTAAGTTTGAATCTTTTAGAATTTTCTTTAAAATCTTTTATTTTTTATGTTTAAAAAATTTTTTTTACCATTTTATTGATTGACAACAAAAAATCCACCTCAACAAAAATTTTGCTTCCATTAAAAATTCCTCTCCTTGCAAAAATTTTCAATATCCCACCTCCCTCCCTCTCTCCCTCCCCCCCTATCCCCCCCTCTCCCCCCATTGTCTTCATTTTCTTATTCCTCTCTATTTTTTTAAAAATTAATAACCTCAAAATTGCTTAACTTCACTATAAAAAATTCTCTCTCTCCTTTACATATAAAAATTTAAAATTCCCTTCCCTTCAAATTAAAAATAAATCTCCCTATATTTCATTTGTAAAATGCCATTTTTTAGACAAAAAAAAAGGAGAAACTTTAATATTATTTAGATCTAACCCTAGAAAATGGGCTAATTCCGAGTTAAATCTCTTTTACTTATTATTTTAGGAGGGCTAACTCTTAGGATTTAAATTTTTTTAAATTGTTTATTGATTCACAACAAAAAATCCACCTCAACAAAAATTTCACTTCCATTAAAAATTCCTCTCCTATTTACAAAAATTTTCAATATCTCCCCTACCCCCCACCCTCTCCCATTGTCTTGAGAATATAATTTTTTTATAATAAAATAATTCTAAAATTAATTTTTCTTAATTATTTTTAGAATAAATAAATCTAAATTCCCATAAAAAATTAACAAAACAAAAAAAATCAGCAAAAAGACCCCAAAAATAAGAGATTGTAGAGTTCTCTTTAGTTAATTTTCTGATATTTTTGAAGAAATTTTAACTAAAATGTTATTTCCAATCGTTATAACAACTCTTATCTTTATTTTTAACCAAAATCTGTCTCAAAATTTGGTTAAAGGAATGAACCCCCCATCAGGTTGAAAATTAATATTTTATTCTTAAAAGTTTGGATTAGAAGGCAGAGATTTTTTGAAAGTAGATCGAATAAATAAAATTTTGGTCTGAACCAATTATTTAATTTGAAATTTGATTTTTTCAATTCCTAATTGAGACCCCTTCGCTCAACACGTACATGTGCTTTACCGCCGATACGGGACTAAGCTCCTTCACTTGTAATATGTAGACTAAGCTACATCCCTCCCTCGTCTAGCAAACATTTTAAATCTTAACCATCTCTAAATTCACTTCTTCCTTACAATATATTTTATATTAAATTTTAAAAATAAAAATATGAGGTATGCGAACTGGCCGAAATACTCTTCTAGAACCTGCCAACTTTAAAGAATTTAATCTTGTCGACTTGTCTCTTCTCATTAACATTTTAAAAAATATTAAAATAGAAGAATTTAACAATTCAAGAATGGAAAATATTATTTTAAATATGGGAGTACGTGTTCTTCAAGCAATAAATTCTCCAGAGTTGATTAATAATCAAAATATTACACTTTCTGTGTCAAAAATAAATAAAGTTTGTTTAAAAAATATTTGGGAAGAATTTTTTTCTTGAAGTTTATTTGTAAATATTTTCTTGGAAACAAATCAAATATTGTCTATTTTCTCACTATATTTCCTAAACTTTTTCACTTAAGGGTAGGGTGGACGAAAGAGACATGTTCCTGTTATGTCCGCACTTGCAGAAAGAATAAAAATGAAAATAAATAACCCATCATCGGGTTGGCACAGTTGGTTGTGCTTCTGTCTGGGCTGATTCCATGATGGTTCAATTCCATCTCCCATCCAATGAATTTTTCCACAGCATGGACATCGTTTTACAATAGTTCCCGTTTACCGTATAACCTGTATTAATTGCTTTCCCGCAAATAATTACCCCACTTCCATTAATTACCCCATCCAGCGATAGATTGAAACAATAATTATCCCCCAACAAATGCCCTAAGATGCGTTCAAATTTCAAACCTCGTATAATTACCTCCCTCAATTAATTACTCCCTCCAGCGGAAGGTCGAAACAATAATTACCCAGGGTAGTTATTAAAGGATATACGGTAACATGTTTTTGAATCACTAGTAAATAATATTAATTTTTAAGGCTATTAGACACATTGAAAATATTGTTATTGGACAGTATATGAATAATGTAAGAGTTGAACTGGCTGATCCGGAAAAGAAAATGGGCTATATTTATAGCCGACTTGTTGATTTTGGCAGATTTATGCAAACTCGTAATTATATTTTGTTTCTAAGTCAATATGGTATTGAAATAGATAGAAATTTAATTAATCGTGGAAATTTCCCCTGTCCAACATCTTTAAATTCTAAAAGGTTTTTTTGGAAAATATTTTTCATTAAAAAATTTGTTTTGAATAAAATTTCAGTGGAGAAGAACTAAATAATATTTTACAAAATATACAAGAACCAACACAATTCGAAAAGAATCTTTTAATTTTTTAT